TGTGTGTGTGTGTATGTGTGTGTGTAAGATGCGTTTATAGCGTGATAAATATGGCCTGACCTTGTTGTTTTAGTGTTGGAATTAGTGAGAAGTGTTCTGCAACTTGCTGCTTATTTTCTATAGCAGGTGTAGTTACTATGGCATTGATGATCTATTTTCATGCTGCATAAGAACTGCAGTCAGTTCCACTCTGATACGTGTGCAGTTCAGCATAAAACCCAGAATGCTCATCTTTTCCTGGAACTAAAAAATAAGAATTAAGTAGTCAAGATCTTCAATAGATACACAGTGATACTGATTAAACTCCAACACTTCAGATAATACTTTCTATAACGGTCACTGACAAACATGAGCAAATCAGCCTCATAAATCCCATTTGACTCTCTTCTCCAGGTCTTGTCTCCATGTCTCCCTGCTGCTGCAGACCCTGCTGCTCTTCCCCTCTTATAGCACATAATTATTACTTACTGTATGTGGGCATGAGCTAAACCATGACCTAAGAAGCTAACAGTCCTGACAGGCCACCTGATGTGTTTAATGAGCGTGTTCTCTTCTCCCTGTCATTTAAAGGGATCTGGGCTGAGCCACAAGAGTAACACAAAAAAGACGCAGGTCCAGGCAGTGTGGGAATCACCAGAGAAACCTCCACAAAGAGTCCAGTTTCTGTGAGTATGCATAACACTGCAGTTTGATATCCAGAGCCACCCACAAAGGGCTGTCCAACAGACAGTATTCAAATTCATTGACAGGTCTTGTTACACAGCTATGTAAAGATGGAGATGTTTCAGTATGTCAAGGTGTGTTTCATTTATTGTTGCAGTGTGACAGTGGTGCATGACTATAAGGTTTACTGGGTGAAGATGGCAGGTCCTGTGGTGTCACTGAGAGGAGTGACTGTTGCTCCATCCACAAATGCTCCTCCTCAAACCACCAGCCCCACTGCTCTGTCCACACAGGTCAGTATCTACAAAAAAATCGAAACTATAACCTCATTAATATCATGTTGACAGGTTTTCAGATATCTGTTTCAGAGATTTCTACATTAACCTATGTGAATTAAGTCGATAGTACACACAGCTTTTAGGTATGGCACGTATGGTCTAATGGCATCACATCTTTCAAGAAACCCTGTCTCTGTTTCTTTATATAAGACACAACCCTCAGGGGAAGGTTTGCACCTCATCCCGAATAACTGGATCATTGCCATTCAGAACATGAATAGCTTAACTGTTATCTTCTTCCTCCTCCTCAGTTTAGTTCAGTGGGGTGTGGCCAAAGCAAATCTTGCCTCAGAGACCCAGTGGGCTGTCACCCAGAGTCAGATCCCCACTGTTTCTTCTTGTCGTTTACCACTGATGAAGCAGGACAGAGTGTAATGTTTGAACTCAGTGGGCCTACTGATGGTTACATGTCCTTTGCCCTGTCCCACGACAAATGGATGGTGAGTTTTATTTATGATGACATTTACTTTTTCAATCTAGAGTCACTTATAATTAAAAACCTCCCAAAGTTACAATCATTTCACTTTAAACAACCTTGGCTTCAATGTTTCTGTGCTGCCCTGAAGATTGATAGGAAAATGATAAGACAATTGTTCACCTGCTGTGGATGTGAACACTCTCAAACATGAGGTGAAAGTCAGAATTTTTATCTTAATCATTGCTTTGGGTTAATTTACAAATATGGCTAATTTAGGATTTCTATTGACATAATGAGCACATGTTATCAATTTACATATTTGGCAATCGACTCTTAATTCAAACTCATCAGTAAAATGTTAAGAGACAATGTATTTGTTTTTATCTAGCACACACTCATAGCATGGCTAAGGTTAGGGGAAGATGATGATGATAATAATAATAATGACTCAAATCTTTGTAGAGCCGTTCTAGGGACCTAAGGACACTTTACATATTTGTAGGGTGACAGAGACAGAGACAAAGACAAATTGTATCAGATCCGGTCACATGCATTTTTTAAAAGATGAGTTTTGAGTAGTTTTTGAATGTCCCAAGGGATTTGGCATCGCAAATCTATATTGGATGATAGTTTGGTTTAATGCACAAATATTTCAGTGTCTTTTTAGCCAAAACCAAATTGCTTCTATAAATGAACTTGGCCTCTGGTGTGAGAGTCTTGCATTTTGTACTTCCAACATCCATAATTACCATCTCCTATACCTGCCCCAAGTGCTTCGTTGATTCAAACCCAACATCTAAACATAATCTAGCCACCACAACATGACTGTCAAAACATATGAATCTGCAAGCTGTAAATTAATATTTACTAAATATGTCTGCCCTTGTAGGGGAATGATGACGTCTATCTGTGCGTGAATGATGGAGGCAGTGTTTCCATCAGTGCTGGATATGTCTCTGGACGAACTCACCCTGAGCTAGCAACAGAAGTATACAGTGACTGATCATCATCACCACACAGTATCAGTGCCTGAACTGTTGTAACCATCAGTTTTCAGTGCAAACCTCTCTGTTTCCAGGCGGCTCTGTGGGGGCGGGCCTGGAGGCTGGTCGACGGAGTCATCCAGTGTCGTTTCCACAGAAGTATCCACCTACATAACAGATTCAACCTAAACCAGAGCTACTTCCTGTTTCTGGCCCATGGTAGATCCCGCCAGGGTAAGACAGTGTGAAACTCAGTATTGAACAGTATTTAATAAACTAGTGCAGTGCCTGTTTGCTTGGCATGAGGTAATGCTCTGGAGCTGCTTCACAATTATCTCACAGGCCTACAATATACTGTTACATGCTCATTGTTTGTGTGCTGGACGTTGTGTGTAGAGCTTTTTATATATGTCTGTGGTGCAGAGTGACATTATAAAATAATAATCCTCATGATGTTTTCACTAATTCATTTCATCTAAATTGTA